TACAGATGAAGGGATGGATGGGAATCAGGAGATAAAGCACACAAGGGGGAAGAATTTAGAGATACTCATTGATAACGATTCGAATAGATTGCAGACAAATGTTCATAATCAGCTTAGTGCAGGCAAAATGCTCAATTCAAACCAAAATCCTCAGGCACCGACTTCAGATGAGTCTGGTCTTCATCGTAGTGCAGGCTCCACAGCCGGACGGAATTCTGCAAAGGAGACTAACATATTCTCACAATCAGTTTTCCCAGGTCTTGAGAACGGCTCTTATATCCTACAGTCAGTACGGTGTCTCGGCGCTTCCGAAACTCCTTGTGCTTCTACTCTGACTGCTAACGAAACCCCTTCCACCACTTCCGATCTTCTGCCACCTGGTCTACTTGCAGCCGCAGCGCGCCTGCCCAGCCTTATCGGTCGTGACTCTTTCCATTCATCCTCGCCATTTATTCAAAACCAACATAATTCGCCTCTTGGTTTGACACAGGGGACAGGACAGATTGGCTCATCGGCCCCAATCAGCACGGTTCGAATGCGCGTAAAAAAGGCTACAAGCACAGCTGGTTCTCGCGAAACTACTTTCTCAGTTTCTTCCAGAGTTGGAAAAGAAAGAGGACGAGGAAGAACTAGAGTAGGCACAAATGGACGAGAAGGTTTTATTCTCCGTGATGGTATTGGCGTCACTGCCAGTTCGGCAACTTGTATGAATTCCTTGAAGTCTTGTCGTCAGCGGTCTTCTGATTCAGCTGATGTAATTACCTCTTTGCCGGCTGAGACTTCGCAGCCATCAGAAGTACCAAATGATTATAATGCTCGGTTGGGCTTGGTAAAGACGGAAGACCAATTTGAAGAATCTCCAGTTTCCCCTAATCAGGTCTTTGTTGACCAACAGGCTCTAAAACAGGTACACAAAAGATCGCTTCATCAGTCATCACGGCAAGATTCTTCTACTATTGATCAACCGGAGCTGACGCAGCGGCAGCAACATGAGCTAACTCTTGCTTCACTCCATTCCAGATCACAGCATGCGTCTCCAAGACCCGCTGTCATCAGGCCTTCGCGACATTTGAGCTACTTTCTTGCACCACAATTTTCCCAGGCGCCTTTCGAGGCTTGTTCCGATTCTAGATCCTCCCGATCTACCCAACCGGCTGACAACCTTATTTGTAAGCCCGAATACCCACCTGTCACCTCTGCTTCCGCTACCCATACTTCTAACACTGGCATTCCCTCATCTACAGTATCGGTTAGCAACGTGAAGAGCAACTTCAGTCTTGAGCTACACAGTGGAGTCGATTCTAGCAACGATCAGATAAAAACTAGCCCTTCATATCATCTGAATCCTGCATGTCAATCTTCTCGTTCATACTCTACATCTCTTCAAACTCCTCAACACCTCCAACATACGCAACAACAACAACTCCCTATTCCTCATCCCTCAGTTGTTTACCCTTCTCAATCACTATTTCCTGGATCTATTGTGATTCCTGATGCCCCAGACAACCGAGACCTGATTAGGACCCGACCACCGCCACCCATATCCACAATTGCCTCAAGTGGCTGGCCAGTTTCTGTTCTGCCTTCAGGTCCAGATACTGTGACTACGACATCTGCGCTTACAGAAGCCGTTTCTGCTGCTGCTGTGGCCGCAGTCTCAGCAGCTGCCGCAGCTGCAGGTCTGTTGAGTCAGTCCCAAATCACCTCCACTTCTGCATCTAGCATTTCCTCCTCCATGAGGACTCTGTCTTCGACTTCTTCGTCAATCAATTATCTTACTGGGATAAAGGCCGATCTTTCTGCTCAGGCTCAGCTTTCAACGTGTATAGTGGATCACCGAATATCTGATTCTGCACTTTCAGGCATAATGCATGCCCCCGTACGTTTACCAAACTCTTCGGATCAACAAACCTTAATCGATGTTCCATTTATCTCATTTCCCGACGCTCGTATTAGATCCGACCATGTTTCATCCGTTTTTCATT